AGGTAGATAAGAGAGGGAGGGCTAAAAATGAAAAAGCCGGCATCTAATCTAGCCTTTGCTCCAAGCTGCCTCTTGATTCCCAGTATAACTTTCATCTACATCATTTTTGCTCTATTCAATGAATTACATTTTCCTAAATGCCACCCAAGTATTACCCTCCGTACTTCTGAGTCTTCAAAAAATAAAAAGTTTAATTTATCCCAACCCACAAGCCAGAGGTCCCACTGTCAAGTACAAAGGCCTCTTCTGAGAGTGGTCTAGAGCACCCACTTTAAACACGAGGCAGGCAAATCCCTGGCCCAGGACAGCCTCACGCAGGGCGAGGAGGAGAGCCAGCCTTGGCCCCAGCTCCCCAGCAGGAGCTCAGCCCGCCTCAGACACCTAAACCCACGCTTCCCCGTGGGTTAATCTGTGCCAAGGAGAAGATGCACTCTCTGCACACATATGTGTATGGCTTGGGGAGCTCCGTGTGTCTGGATGTCGGGCCCTTGCCCAGGCACTTCAGTATGGCAGCAGCCTCCCTCAACACATCGCCTACCTCAGTGGTCGGCAAACTCATTGGTCAACAGAGCCAAATATCAACAGTACAACGGTTAAAATTTGAGAGCCAAAATTTTTAAACTTAAACTACATAGGTAGTCACGTTGTTATTAACTTCATTAGGGCACTCCTAAGCTGGCCTTTGCTAAAAACTCAAGGGGCCAAAGAGCCGCACGTGGCTCGCGAGCCGCAGTTTGCCGACCACTGACCTACCTAAGCTCTGAATCTGGAACTCATCTGTCCCTTGCTGGCAGCAAGTGTCACTGCATTGGCAGCTGTGGATCCTTGTCAGGCCTTGCTGGGCTCAGGGCTGTCTGAGGGGGGTCTGCCCCACCTCCTGACTCTGGGCTGTGCCCTCCCATTTGCAGCTCTGAAACCCTGGTTTACCCACCAGCCTGGAGAGTAAATGTGAAGCCCCACCCCAAACCCCACCCTCCCCCCATGAGTTACTTTCCTACAAGAGTGACTGCATGTGAGAGCTAGAAGGCAGATGGCACACCAGGCTCTGACCTCACTCACTTCAAGATTCAACTTCCCGCCGAAACCGGTTTGGCTCAGTGGATGGAGCGTCGGCTTGGGGACTGAAGGGTCCCGGGTTCGATTCCGGTCAAGGGCATGTACCTTGGTTGCGGGCGTGTCCCCGGTAGGGGGTGTGCAGGAGGCAGCTGATCGATGACTCTCTCTCATCGATGTTTCTAACTCTCTATCTCTCTCCCTTCCTCTCTGTACAAAATCAATAAAATATATTTAAAAAAAAAAAAAAAAAAAAAAAAGATTCAACTTCCCGCGGAAACCGGTTTGGCTCAGTGGATAGAGCGTTGGTCTGTGGACTGAAGGGTCCCAGGTTCAATTTCGGTCAAGGTCATGTACCTTGGTTGCGGGCACACCCCCCGGTGGGGGATGTGCAGGAGGTAGCTGGTCGATGTTTCTCTCTCATCGACGTTTCTAGCTCTCTATTCCTCTCCCTTCCTCTCTGTGAAAAATCAATTTTATATATATATATGTATATGTGTATATATATATATATATATGATTCAATTTCCCCTTTAGAGCTTCCCTCACCGACCCCTGCAGCCACCACCAGGATGGCCTTCGGGAAACTCGCTCTCCACTGCCAAGGCCCCCAGTCAAGTGTGTCACCCAACCACCCCTCCATGCCGACAGCACCGTGCACACCAGGCTGCAGTGCGCTGGGCAGGCTGGAGGAAGGAGTGTGAGGAACAACAGGATGTGGAATGAACCTGGGTTACTGAATGGCAAGGGTGTTCCTCAGCACAAGCCTGGGATCCTCTCAATGGTACCTCCCTAGGTCCAGGTCACTCTAACTCGGGCTTCCAGGATCACTCTTTGGGCCACTTGGATGCCATGAAGTGTCAAACTAAAGAAGTGAGGCTGGGAAAAGCAGGAGTGGCCTATCTGCCCAAGTCCACTTTCCCAAGTGATTGAAATTGGAGCGGCCATTGGTTGACTACCGGTAACTCAAAAACACAGGGTGGGGCAAAAGTAGGTTTACAGTTGTTCATATGGAAAAATATAATTAATAATACAAGAATAAACTGTGTTTCACGTACTCACAACTGCAAACCTATCTTGCCCTGCCCTGTATTATTAAGTATCTATTATGCTAGGGGATAAATAATACCAACAACAAATGGGCATGGCACCCTCCCCTCAAACTGCATGGCTATCATCATGGCCTTAACCCAAACTCCATGGCCTATAACCATCATTTCATTGCAATTAAAACAAACAAAATAGCCCTGCCCTGGCTGGGTGGCTCACGATGGGCTAATATGATTACGACAGGGAAAAATAACGATGATGGCCGTTGCCATGTTTTACTACCTATTATGTGCCAGATATTTTAAAATTTGTATCTAATTTTAATACATCATCTCCTATAAGCTTCACAACAACCCCATGAGATACTCCTCTTGTCCTAGTTTTTACAGATGAAGAAATTCCAGTGAAGATACTTGCCCATGTTATTTAACCTTTCCAAGGCTCCGTCTCCTGTCTGTGGGTCAGGGACAATGAGGCCTCACTCCCCTGGCTGCTGTGAGTTTGTAAAGTGTGTGGAAGACCATGCACACTGCATACAGGCAGAGGCAGAGACGCTATCTCCAACTTGTGGCTCCATCAGAGACCAGCCGGGTGCCTGCGGCCTCTGACCTTCTCACTCAGCACTCAGCAGCTTCACCTGCTACCAAGTTCTATGTTTACTCTCAAGGGAGTCTGTGCTCTCGTGTCTGATTCTATTCCTAGTCTATGACAACAGTCTATGTTTAGGATAACTCTGGGTCTTGGAAGGAAAATGCCTGAAGGCCGGGAGTACTGGAAAGAAATGTCCAGCTGGGCTTCCAAGGAAGAGAAACTTCCTTGTGGATGAAATAGGAGACGATCGTGGTGTGAGATGCCACCCAGTGCAGCTGTGAGACACGCTACTAGAGGGAGGATCTCTCACCAGCTGCCGCACGCCCCCATGTTGCAAGGACTTAGGCACTAACTTGGCCTCATCAATCTACAAGCCTTACCCTCAGTCTGTCTCTTAGCTGCCATAGGACAAAAATATGGGTTTAGAATCGTATCAGGCTTCCTTGCTTACAGGTGTGTGACATTGGGAACATGGCATGTAACCTTGTTGAGGCCCAGCTTTCCTCTCTCTAAAATGAGCTGTTGAATTACCTAACAGTACATATAACTCACAAGTAGGTACTTTTAAAATGTTACTCCCCTTGCTCGGCTGGAGTGACTCAAGCATCGTCCCATGGGCCAAGAGGTCCCGGGTCTGACTCCTGGTCAGGCACATGCCCAAGTTGCTAGCTTGATCCCATGTTGGGTGTGCAGGAGGCAGCTGAGCAATGTGTGTCTCTCATCGATGTTTCTGTCTCTCTCCCTTCCTCCCTGAAATCAATAAAAATATTTTTTTTTAAAAATTAAAAAATAAAATATTACTGCCCTTGCATTCTTTCCTATACTGTGCTATGTTATGCGTGGATGTACGGTGGGCACAGAGAACAGAGATGACTGAGACCACAACCCTTCATACTTGTAGCTAAAATCGCCTCAGGAAGCGAGTAAAAGGTCTGGGGCAACGTCAGGAGGCGGGGCAACGTCAGAAGACTGCGCAACATCCTAAGGCCTGCAGTTTGCGAAGGACATGATGGAGGTGAGGCGAGGTGGCTGTCCAGACGTGGACCACCTCCTCGGTGGGCTCTGCCTTCCTGCTCTCCTTTCTATCCATCATCCTTGTTTTCAGCATTCAACTGTCAGATGTTGTCAATGCTGATGGGTAATGGAGTTCAATGGGTGAGAGGTAATTTATCTGCTATTTACATTACACTGCACTGTTTCCTAAACCCTTCTGAGAACTCACTAGCTCATCAGATCCACACCACTCCCTGTTGAGGGGCGGGGCATTGGTCATGCTCCTGTCATAGCTGAATAAATGGGTTCCCAGAGATGGCCAGTCACCAGCACGAAGTCGCCCATCATACCAGTGGCAAGCTCTAGGACGAGGACCTTGGACTCCTGACTTCTCCTAGTCCAGCACTTTCTCCATTTGATCTCAATGCCTCTCCTGCTAATGTATCCTTTAGAATCAGTGTTTCCCAAACTTTTGACATGTGTACCCCTTCTATAATTTTCGTAACGCTGAGTACCCCTCGTACTATGAGAACGTAGAATTAGGCGCAGCTAAGCATGGTGCAGTGCATATCCCCACCAAACTCCGGTGCAACGTGTACCCCCACCAAACTCTTCCAGGACCCCTGGGGGTATGCGTACCACACTTTGGGAAACACTGCTAGATAATAGTTGACCAAACTTTAGTAGGTTGAAATAAGAGTTAATCTCTCGTGGCTCCTCCACATCATGACTGATTGTATTAATCAATCAAATTTTCTGTAAAAATGGGTATCTTCTTTCTATATACATCCAACTCAAGCTGGCTTAAGAAATAAAAATGAAGTAACAATTGGGGTTGGTTTCTAGTTTCCCAGGAGAGGAAGGACCTCAGTGGATGTCATAAGGGCTGTGTTTGCCCGGCTCCACTCTTTCAGGCTTCTGTTGCACACAAGCATCTCCCCCACCGAGGAAGCCTCCCAGTTAATGAGCCCGTGGAGAGAGCTGGTCTGAAATGGCATGCTTTTTCCTTTGGATCTGCTATTACTAAATCCCTGGGAGATCAGAGGGGGAAATCTGGTAAAGACACCAAAATTCTAAGGAGTTGAAAAGCTAAAAGTCCCAAGAGGTGGAAGGATAATAAGGAACAGTGTTAATCCATAGCATCAACTCTTTTAGCTCCATTTGGATGTAAGCTTGTGTTTTATCATTGGATATATATACGATATGTTTTATCTACTATGTAGGGTGTTTGAATTGTTCAAAAGGATCAGCTATACTAAATTTGTAACTGGTATTTATGTTTAAGGCAGTTTAATCAAGTGTTACTGTTTGAATACACGAGAGATTTTCAATGTTTTATTGAATATGAGTTTAATAAACAGAGCACTAATATTTACGTAGTGGTGCATATTCCTCTCAAACCCAGAGGTCCCTCAGACATTAAGCAATCTAACACAACACACACAAAAAGATCATTGGATTTTAAAATACAATTCTAGAATTATTGTAAAACTACTTTTAGAGGCAAATTCGCAGTTCTCTCAACTTCATTCTTTCGTCATTTTAAGACTCTCAGTGGTACAACAAAAGATATGTCCATTTGAAACTTTTTCAATAGTCAATTTTAAAAAAAAAAAGACAGCTGACCTAGTGACAGGACTGGAATTGTTAGGTTGAAACATTTGGCAGAATCAGTAATGCCTTAAGCTCCCAAAGTAACCAAAAGGAAGTCAAGCAAAAGCTATTACCCCACTTCATTGAGGTAATATTTGCGGCTTCTCCAATTGCACTTTGAGAGTAATCTCAAGGTATTTTTGAAAATAGAAATTAGACGTGGGTGACAAAGCACTGAGGCTGGTGCTAGAGGGAGGGATTTTGTGCACCCAGGTGCCTCCACTTAACAGCTAATGTGTCATCACACCAGCCATGGTCACCTCTGTACTGCCGCCCTCAATCCGTCACTATGTTCAAATATCAGTGTGTACAAGTGCAAAGGATTATTATAATAATGTTTTCTGAGAGCTAAAGTTCGTATGAAAAGCAAGAAAATGCCTCAAATAAAAAAAAAAAAAGTTGGGTATAAACTAAATATAAGAATGATTACAATCTAGGTTTCCTTAACAACAACAAAACTAGTAGTACCAGAATTATGCTTTTTATTCGTATTTCTTGTTTCAAGGAGTCATGGTAGATTTCACAGTACAGAGAGCACTTGTGGCACGGGGTATCACAGAATCAAGACATGCATGGACCATGCTGAGCCCCAGCACCTCCCTCCGAGTCCTGGAGGAGTGGTAGCTCCAGAAAATCCAATTAGAGGGGGGAGGGGGTTACCAGTGAAATGAGAACCCCAAGTCAAGGCTTTGCTTTGGGTTTGGGCTACTTGTTATTTGGATCAGTTTTTCCTTGGCATGTCCAGGCAGCCGGAGGAAAGCTCGTTCCCAGGAAACCCTGACTGACGTGGAAGCGGCCAGCAGAGAAGACCCATTTGGAGCGAGCGTCCAGCACGTTTAGAGTGCTCTCAATCCAGAGGGATGTGACACGCTCCTCCCTGGAGGGAACTCGCCCTACCCTTCTCAGTTAGCTTTGAAGGCCAAGGGTCTCTAACTCCGTTAGTAACTCAGCATAGCTTCACTGTTGTCTATTCTGTGCCAGGCCCTGTGTTGGGTCAGAGGACAGAGAGGACTCAAGAGTCCTAAACAGGGAAATGTGATAGAGAGCATTTGTTCTAAGAGGACACAGTGAGGAGTCAGACTTGGCCCTCAAGGAGTTCACAGCCTAGCAGAGGCCTAGAGGGCACAACAGGCAATAACGCAGGGCAGCCTGTGGGAAGGCCCGCAGGAAGGCTCAGACTGTGCGTTGTGGCAGCACAGGACACGACACCTACTGAATAATGCAGTGGGAAAATTCACGTCCTCAAGAGCCTGAGCAATTTAATGTGGCCCAAGTGAGAGTCCTGAATCCCACTGTCCTGGAGCAGAGGCTGGGCAGCCTCAGGGTGGCCTGTGAGTCCCTCGGGCTGCCCCACAGGCAGGAAGCAAGGTCTCTTACCTAGGGCTGTAGCTACATGATACCCTGTGGATATCTGAGGGGAGACTGGTGACTAGGAAAAACTGATCCAAATAACAAATAACAAGAGCCAAACAACAAAGGCCCAAGGTAAATATTAGGAGCCTGCCTAAGAGTGAGGAACCAGGAGTTAGGGAGCATGAGCAGGAGCAGCAGGTTGAACAGATGGGTACCTATCAGCAGGAGGAGGCCACTCACTTCCGGTGCTCTCTTGCACTTCCAGTGGAGGTGTTGGGGGGCACCGTTGCTAGATGGATACTTACTAAGGGTTCAAGGACAGGATGGGGTATCCGGGAGCAAAGGTGCACAGCCTATGCAGTCCTCTCTTCATGTCTCTGTATCAGAGGCCTTCAGTCTTTCCTCTTTTCTTCACAGCTGCCATCACCTGCCCTCTCTTTTCATCCTACCAACCTGAAAAAGCTGGAATGGGCTTAGTTAGGACACCAGCATCACGGGGTCGGTCCCAGAGCCCTGAAGATCTGGGTAATTGGCACAAACAGAGTTGAGTGCCTATGGTGGTTTTTGTTGGTCAAGTAGAGCCAGCTTACAATTACTGGGCTGGGGAGGAATTTTCCTGCTGCCTGTGCAGGCCTCTATCCGTTCCCACATTTCTCGGAACAGCTCCAGCCAGTTATCATTTCTTCACAGCCCTACCACCTACACAGCCCTCCAGCTTGGCCTCATGTCAGTCTGTCCTTTCTATCTCCAAAGGTGCCAGGACTTCTACCTGCTATTCTTTTTCTTCACAGCTGCCATCACCCACCTGTTCCTCTCTAATCCTCATTCCAGGTTATGCCTGCCCTAAACCTCCTTTCTTGCTAGTCCCAAAATGTGCATATAGGCCCTTTGCCCATTAAGGGAATTTCTCTCTAAGGAGAAGCAAACATGAGGCAAAGGCGAAGGAGAAAGGGTGGGGCAATTTAAAGGTGGCTAAGTCTTTAGGAATACCCATACCGGACATCTGCGGTCCCCACTGGCATGTGACTGAAGTCCCTCCCTTCTTGGATAGTCCCAAGAAGTCCTGATATTCTCATTCTCTCTCCATTGAGCCCCGATGTAGAGCTTCGCCATCCTGCCTATTTCTACCCATTCAGAGTAAAGTGCTCAGGAAAGCTTTGACGAACAAGATCTCAGGAGGGGGTTGCCCTTTCAATCCTCCCCCTACACCACTCTGCCCACCTCACCCCACCTGTCTCCACGTGCCAACTTGACAATGGGCTTGACAGTGGCCTTCACGTAAAGAAGCAGAGATAAGTAATCATTATTTCACCCTACATGCCAGGCTAATTGTAGCCTTTAATAGGCAATGAGGAGCCACAAATTATTTTCAACCAGGGAATGGCAACAGAAAGCACCTTACATTATGCACAGGCACTCACAAAGTAGCTACATAAATGTATAAATGAGTGAATGATCACAGCGGACTACTGAGAAGGTAATGGCAAATGTACACTGGCCACCCTAAGACAATGGTTTAAGCTAAATACAAAGGAGGTGAAGGTAATCCCTTCTTTCCTCCTATAGGACTTCTCCACCGTATGATGGATGCATCCTAGACTATGCTCTACCACTAAGACTTTCACTCTGGGCCATTACCTAGCACCACATATACAGGGTAGGACAAAGTTCTGAGTACATGAAACACAGTTATTTTTGTACTATTATTTATTAATTATTGTATTATTTTCCATATGAACAACTATAAATCTACTTTTGTCCCACCCTGTATTTAGCTGATATACCGATTTAAGAGGGACAAAAAACAAACAGCTCTTGCTAACAGGCTACGAGGGAAACAACCTAAAATAAGAGCAACTAACCTGGTATCATCTGGGAGACCCAGGATTAGTAAAGTTGAGCCCAAAACTATTAGACAAGGTCATCTCACTTCACAAACAGAGACGTCAGTAGATCCAAACAGGCCAGATTCAGTGGTTTGGAGGGTCCGAGACCTTCCTGAGGGCGAAGAGTTTCTCCGCTGGCAAACAGAGTGGCTGAGCCGGGACAATATTCTAAGAAAAACAAACTTAGGGGGAACCTAGCAGCCTGGACAAGCCCTGGGGCAGATGACTCCAGGCACCAAGATAATGATCTACAGATCTGCAACTCAGAGCCCAACATCTACTGACTATCCCACCAACTGCATTTAAAACAAATTTTCTCCTTCTTCCAGCCTCATAAACTGTGAACTCCTCGAGGGCAGAGACGGTGGGAAGTTTTGTCCAATGTTTTAAAGTCCTAAGTCATGTCTTTTTCTCATCAGGAACCATCCTAATAAATGAACTTTAGTTTGTCTTTCATAGAAATGTCATCAGAAACATGGTACTGAGCCTTTCATTTTCTCCTTAGGAAGTACTGCTGTTTGGATACGTAAGCACAGGTTGAGCAGAGTTGCGAAGCTAAGAAGGTAGGTGACCTCATGATTCTGTTTTGCCCAAGTCTTCTTGGAAGCCGACAGAGTTCGTCTATTACTGATCATCCAGATCCTTTATGACATGACACTTGCTTAGAACCTCACACTTGGATAAGCAGTGAGTCATTTGAAAAGATGAGTCCTATGGTTTCCATTTTGATACCAGAGTCCTATGCAGCCAGGACTTGATGATCATGTGGCCATCAGGCCCTCTGCCTTCCTGAGGGATAGGAAGGAGGGAGATCACAACCAATCCTCTCACTTTACAGATGGAGACTGAGGCCCAGAGAGTTCAAGTTCCTAGAGCCAGCCATGGCAGATCCAAGATCATATCACAGTCTCCCAATTCACACAGATCAGTGCTATTTCGGCTATAGTTCATTATCTTGAAGGGGAGAAAAAAAGGTAGGGAGCAAAATATTATATTTTGCGATTCCCTGTAGGCTTCCGTAACCTCTGTTATCCTGGCCACGGTCGCCGTCTAATGGCTTCCTTCTGTGGAAAGCCAGATCCTCAGCCAATTAGTTCTGAATGGGGTCCGAGTTCCTGCCAGGGCAGGTGCACTCACCTTGCACATGGCTCAGGATCTCCTGGTCTGTAAACAAGCGGAAGGCAATCTGCTCACACTCCCGCCTGATCCCACACTCAAACAGACACCCAAACAAGCCCTCCTCCAGAGCAGCCAAATCAGAGTAGCCACAGGGCCCGCAGTGCAAGATCCAGGGGGAGGACCAGCAGGCAGCATCCAAGGGGGTCCGGTTGACGTAGATGCCTAGGTTAACCCTCCGTTTCTTACTGGTTGGGTGTGAGTACAAGAGCCATGATTCTGTCAGTGTCCCAGCTTCCTCCTGCTCTGGCCTCGAACTGCCCAGCAGAGGGTTCTGCTGAAGGGCAGGATCATCTTTGCCATTAGGGTCCTGGTATTCATTTGGAATCTCCAGGGGCTGGAAACTCACCACACTGCCCTGGCAGCCATGAGGGGGCTCACAGAGCTGCTGGCTCAGGGCTGGTCTCTGAAAACATTCACCATGATCAGTGCTCAGGGCCTCTGCCCGGCATTTGTTTGGGGTTCGGGCGCTGCAGTACAGCACAGGGTGGCCGGCCCTCCCAGTCACCTCTGCCACTTCGCACTCCACTGTCACCATGGGCTTAATGAGCCTGCCATGGTGCCACGTGGTGCCTAGGTCATCACTGTAGATCATCAGGGAATGAGGCCTGGCTTTACATGGTAGCCGGAAGCAAAAGAACCAGTAAGGGATGTAGTAGGTGTATGCAGGGATGATGAGCCTCCCGGACTTCAGCTGGATGCCATGACCCGGGCCCACAGCAAATGTGGCCCAGCGCTTAGCTTCTGGGCCAATGACCTCCTCAGTCAGGTCCCTCACGTTGCTCCATGAACAGCCAGAATCCCGACTGCTGATGCAGCAGAGGCGAGCAGCATTCCTGCCTGACAGAATCTGCTGACGCTCACTGACATGGCCCTGCACACAAATGAAGAACAGGTACACACAGCCAGTGTTTCGCTCCCACACAGGACAGGGGTTCATGGTCCGATGCCCAGGTATCGTGGCTTCCATCAGTGGTGTTAGTGGTCCCCACTAGACAAGAGTAAGGGAGAGAGAGCAGGAGTGAGAGACTAATAGGAAGACATGAGGTTCATTAAAAGCATTGGAACATTTCAGAGAAATTAAATAAACGGTATTGAAATCTATAAAATTGTGAAGGCCCAACTATTCACTTAATTCTCATGCTATCCCCTCTGTCCAAAACATTCTTCCTCACTTATATAAATGGTATCAAAACTCACCTCCTGTCTTTCTCTTTGTATATACAAAACACTTAAGCAATTATTATATAACACATTTTTATGTGACTGGCTCCTTCCCTAAACTATGAATCTTCTTAGAGTAAAAACCAAATTATTCCAATTTTGTATCTCCAGTGCTCAGTACATGATAGGAGCTACATAAATATTTTTAAAAAGAAAGGACTCGCCTCCAAAATAAATAAATAAATAAAAAGAAAAGAAGCACAAAGCAAGACAGACAAACATGGAAAATTTAGGAGGGTGGGGAAATTACTGTACTGGGCAAGCTAGTCATTGGAAAGTCAGAAGCTTAGCCATCCTTAGTAGCTGAGAGGAGAAAATTATTTGGACCAGATATGTCTAAAATAAAGTTTATATGAAGCTAGAAGAAACAGTAAACTAAAGATAAAAGCACTAGAATCCAAATTATATCATCCAGCTGCAGCAATGGAATATAAACAAGCTGAGGCTTGACAGAAATGTAAAATGAGTCTTGGATTTAAAAGTCTGGATGGAGAAACATGATTAAAGAACAAATGTAATAGCCAACAAGCATATGAAAAAATACTAAATATTAATAATTAGGAAAGTGCAAATAAAATCTACAATGCCCAGAGGCTCATATCCATTAAGGTGACTACTACCAAAATAATACAAAATGTGTGTTGGCAAGGATATAGAGAAACTGGAAGCCTTGTGCACTACTGATGTGGAAAACAGTATGGAGGAATCTCAATAAATTAAAAATACAATTACCATATAACCCAGCAATTCCACTTGTTGGTATATATCCTAATAATTGAAAGCAATGTCTCAAAGATATATTTGCACACCATGTTCATAGAGCATTATTCACAATGGCCAAAAAAATGGGAGCAACCCAAGTGTCCAACAACAGAATGAATAAATAAACAAAGTGGATAAACCAATCAATGGATAAATATACAATGAAATATTTAGTCTTTACAAAGAAGGAAATCCTCCCATATACTACAAAATGAACCTTGAGGATATTATTCTAAATTAGTGATTTTCAACCTTTTTCATCCCATGGCACACATAAACTAATTACTAAAATTCTGCAGTACACAGAAAAAATATACTTTTTGCAAATCTGACAAAAAACAGCTTTAATTTTGATTCATTCACATCAGACAACTATTGTTGGGTTGGCTGTTGTTATTTTTAAATTTGACAATGTACGGGGAAAAAGGTCAGTGTCCCTGACTAAATAGTCAGGTATTGCATGCTTTAAAAATTCACTGCTTAAATTTTTGAATTTCTGAAAATCACTGCTCTAAATGAAATAAGTCATCATAGAAAGACAAATACTGCATATGAGATACCTAAAATAATCAAACTCAGAAACAAAGTAGTATAATGGTTATTAGAGACTGATGGGGGGGATGAGTTGTTCAATGTGTAAGGAACTGCTGTCAGACACAATGACAAAGTTTTAAAAAGATCTGTTGCACCGAAACCGGTTTGGCTCAATGGATAGAGCGTCGGCTTGGGGACTGAAAAGTCCCAGGTTTGATTCCGGTCAAGGGCATGTACCTTGGTTGCGGGCATATCCCCAGTAGGGGGTGTGCAAGAGGCAGCTGATTGATGACTCTCTCTCATCGATGTTTCTAACTATCTCTCTCCCTTCCTCTCTGTACAAAATCAATAAAATATATTTAAAAAAAATAAAAAAATAATAAAAAATAAAAAGATCTGTTGCACAATAATTTGCATACAGTTAACAATACCACAATGTACACTTAAAATGATTAAGATGGAAAATTTTGTTAGGTGTATTTTACTACAATTAAAAGTTTTCGTGTTTGTTTTTTAAAAAAAAAAAAATGTGAAAAAGACTTGGAAGTTTTAGCTACTTAATATTAGTCCCCTTGTGCACTGCTGGTGGGAATGCAGACTGGTGCAACCACTGTGGAGAACAGTATGGAGTTTCCTCAAAAAAACTGAAAATGGAACTCCCATTTGACCCAGTAATCCCTCTCCTAGGAATATATCCCAAGAAACTAGAAACACCAATCAGAAAGGATGTATGCACCCCTATGTTCATAGCAGCACAATTTACAATAGCTAGGATTTGGAAACAGCGTAGGTGCCCGTCAGCAGATCAAAAAACTATGATACATCTACACAATAGAATACTATGCTGCCATAAAAAAGGAATTCTTATCATCTGCAGCAACCTGGATGGAATTAGAGAACATCATGCTAAGAGAAACACCACATGACCTCACTCATTTATGGATAATAAAGAAATTATAAACTGATGAACCAAAAGATAGATATAGAGACAGTAAAGCAACAAGCAGATTGTCAAATTACAGTGGGGAGGGTAGGGAGATATGGGGGAGATAAGAGATCAACCGAAGGACTTGTATACATGCATATAAGCAAAACCAATGGACGAAAAACTCTGGAGAGGAAGGGCATGTATGGGAGGGGGGGCATTGGTAAGATATGTACACAGATAATAATAAAAAAAATAAGAAAAAAATATTTATTAGTCAACTGTGTTATGTAGGATCAAAAAGTAAATGCTACTTACCTTAGGATGCATGAAAAGGATACAAGATGGGATAGCCATCTCATTGGTGGGGTGGCTCTATCCTTGGGGTTTAAGTTCAATTCGGAATACCATTCTTTTAAAAAGGACTCTAACATCCCAGAGTAATCAGTTTTCAAGGGCCCAGAAACCCAATCCAGACCGTGACCTAAGAAGACACTAAGAACTCAAGTTGTGAGTCCCCAACATAGAAAGCTCAGTGGGCAAGAACACCCACTCTCAGGTATCTCCAAGAGCAGTCTCGGCAGACGGGACTTTATTACGTACAGACTGACAACCCCAGGAGGCCGAACAAGACCAACGGGTAATTATAGAGGCGTATGGATCATCTCATCCTCCAAACAAAAGTTAACAGTAGCCACAGGATGAATTCCTTATTTGAGGAGTAAGCAGAACCTTTATAGAAGATGACTAATGTTGACTTCCTACCATGTTAACTGCTATTATTAATCACATTTTGCAGATGATGAAACAGAAGTCAGTCAAGTATTCTCGTCACAGAGCCAATAAATAGTAGGGCTTGCCTGACTACAAAGCCATGCTCTTAGCCACTAAGCTAATAGTAGCCACCAATGGATTACAGAAGATTTCTACACTGGAAAAGAAGTTGGGCTTATGACTCTTCTAATTTCAAGATTCTACAACTGAGTTAATCAAAGAATAAAAATGAACAAACATAAGGTAAGAAGAACAGCAGTAGGAGAATGATTGTTGTTATCATATACCCTCCAATCCATTATCGGCTAGTTGTGGTCTGAAACAAGCTACCTACCTTGCAGAGCACCAGGATCCCTCACCAGCAACCCTGGGCTAACAATGTCTACTTTTTTTGGTGACTTAGAACGATAAAAGAGAAGGTGAACGAAAAGTACATATGAACCAGAGGCCTCTAGAGTTAGAGATCAAATCTGAAGCCCGCTTCTACTCCTTCATTGTAGCTGTGTGACCTTGAGCAATGAAGGCAAACTCTCTGAGCCCGTTTCCTCATCTGTAAATGTGACCGACAATTCCTGTCACAGTGGCCGAGGGGCCAATGTGCCCCTGACACACAGTAAGTACTCAGTGAGAGGCATTGCTTTTACTGTTTTCTCCTCTTTAACTCTTACACAGGCTTTTTCTTGCACTGGTGGGAAAAGACACAAGAGCAAATATGGAGAGAAACTGAGGCCCTGGCCCAGATCTGGGGTGAGTCACCTGTACTGTGTGCCCCGTCCTTAGCCCTCGTCTCAGCACCAGGTGGAGCGCATCCTCGTCCCTGCTTGTGGAGCGCTTCTCTGCGAAGGCCAGGAAGGTGTACTTGGGGGGGATGTAGAGCAGGGCTGGGATGCGGTAGGTGACCCCCCCCTTCTCTTCCTGCTGGAAGAGGGGGTTGTTGAAGGAGCACGACGTCACTTCTTCCATGATCTCTGCAGGGAGAGGAGGCAGCTCAATGTGTATCCGTATCCAAATGCTGGCTTGTACACAGTTCTGTTCTATCATTCCATTTCTGGAGATCACTGAGAGGCAGAGTTTATTTTTCTCAATATAAAAATAACATCATGGTCCCAACCGCACAAAGCAAGCAATACGCATTCTTGTTTAACACATCTATCCTCCAGACTCTGTGGGAATTCTACATGGCCTGCGCCATGTGGGTCTCTCCGGAGATTCCGTTTCTACTTCTGCCAAGCATCCAGGGACATTACCACCCAGATGGCTTCTAATACCAATTTCTTGGCTTGGAATTTTTAGACCATTTGGGTAACATATATATAAACAAACCCAAAGAAGAAATGCCTCTGATTAAGAATTCTTTGGGGAAACTTTTTCCCTCTCTTTGAAATTGGATAAAAGGCAATCTTCTTTGTCATCTCTGCATCAGTAGCGACTTTTTTCCTAGTCCATCCACCCAATCAGAAAATGTTGATTTTCAAGGGACATGATTTCATGCAAGGATCTCTGTGACAACCAGAGTCTAGACCATGCAGGCCCATAGTTTCATTCACAGTAACAACATGTCTATTAAAGCCAAGCTTCTAGGTAAGACCAGCAAGCATCCAGGACTGCTGAGGTCGGGTTACGGGAGTAACTACCCTGGTTTTCAGTTTACTCTTGGTTTTTCGGCCCCTGGGGATTTCTCTTACTTTCTTGAAAATTCAGCTATATTTTTTTATAATTTATCCACCATTTTACAGGTTATATAGCTGGCCATAATCCTGAAAATGGAAGTCGCAAGATACATTTCTCAAAGAAAATCAGGAGTTTTACTTTTCAGAGGCCCAAAAAACGAATTAAGCCAGTTACACAGAACCAGGCTTAACATTATTTTTTTTCTCTCACCTGTCATCCATGCCCTAGCTTGTAAATAATTTATAAAAATTACCAGACTGTAAGAACAATGCCTGTAAGACCACATTCATTCATTTAATAAATATTTGTGTGCCTACTCTAAGTTAGGCCATATGGTAGGTGCTGAGGAAATAGAACTCAGAGGCCCCTGCCCTCAAGAAACCCACACCCTAGTGAGACATAAACACGGACAATCACACCACCATGTAATGAGAGCACGTAGGAAATAGAAAAGGGCAGCTGTCCACATTGAGGCTGCAGAGAATTTCTGGAGAGCTAACAACATAGCCAAGGGAGCTCCTGTCTCATATATCTTTAATAGAGGCCCAGTGCATGAATTCGTGCATGGGGGGGGGGGGGTCTCCCTGGAAGGCCTGCAGAAACCCACAGTCCAATGCTGCCTGCAGCTCCTACCTGCCGCTGCTACTCATCCAAGCCCCACTGTGCCTGCCATGTCCAATCAGTCCTGAATGGGAGAGGCGAGTGCTGTGTCTGGCACCCTCCCAAGGAGAGTGGCCTGCAAGATCGGGGCTCTTTGACATCCCCCAAGGGGTCCTGGACTGTGAGAGGGTGCAGGCCAAGCTAAGGGACCCTACCAGTGCACAAATGGGCCTGGGAGGGACCATGGGAGGGTTCCATGGTGTGTCTGGCTCATCTTGCTCAGTCCCAATAGGCCAGATCCCAGCAGCAAGCTGACTTACCAGTTGGAGCATCTGCCCTCTGGTGGTCAGTACACATCATAGCAAGCAGTTGAGCAACTTTAGCATACCATTAGCATATTACACTTTGATTGGTTCAGTTGTTCTGCCATCTATTTGCATATTACCCTTTTATTATATAGGATATTCTTCTTTCAGATAGCCACATACCTCATTCCTTCACCTCCGTAATAATGTCATCCAATGGGCAGTAGGAATATGTGTTTTATTCTCTGCTACACTTCTACACCTAGAACCATACCTGGTCATTGATAAGCACTAATATTTGTTGAGTGACTGAATGAATGGCTGAGCTGGATCTTAAAGGATAGTGGTTTAGCCAATTGAAGGGTAGAAAGGAGGCGGACATGGAGAGTGGATGTGAAAAATCTATAGGTGACAGAAAACAGTGAGCTGTGAGAAATCTCAGGAGTCCCGTATGACTATCCTGCTCAAAAGCTGTGAGCAGAGATGGGACTGAAGGGGTCAGCAGAGACCAGATCCTGGGAGCCTCTGATACCTTATTAAGGTGTTTATCCCACAGACAGAGAGCCACTTAAGAGTTTTTGGCAGAGGAATGGCATGATCAAGTATGCATTTTAGATCAATGTCTCAGGTAGCCCTGTGGTCAATGAACTGACGGGAAAAGTTACACTGCTTTTGGCTGCATCCTCTTAGTGTCAGTCAAGACAAACTTGCATCTATGGCTTATGAAAGATTCATTCAGTCACTATTTCTAAAGAGATGTGGGGAGGTGGTCTCCTGAGTCCAGAAGAAAAGCCTCCCTCCTCACTCCGAGTCTGGGCTCTCAATGGCACAGCTGAAAGGCACGGTGAATAGTCTTCTCCCCACAGACTAGGGCCTCTCTGTTCCCCCCATCAGGCTCTCCTGCCAAGGAGAGGCAGGCTTTCTTTTAAGTAAAAATCAGTCCCTGACCAAACTGGTATAAAGATTGCGAACACAGGAATTGGACCAGGCTAAGACTACACGACTTTGAGCATGTTATTTAACTTCTTTATCCTCATTTATAAAATTCAATACAGTGGCTGAGAGAATTAAGTAAAATAGTTTAAGTGGCTGTCACGGTGCCCATGACATTTTTGAGTTCAATATAGACAGTTACTATTTTTAGATTGTCAATCATCGCATATTCTAGTTTTATTCCTTGAAATCTGTGGATCATGATGATGATAATATCTGCAATTACAACTCCCCTTCTTAAAAGCATTTAAATCCCTCTGTGCCTCTGGGAGAGATACTTTAAATTCTTATAAGTTAACATTTCAATTCTGAGTTAATACTAACACTAATAATCATCAGCCAACACATGATTATTCGTTAACATTGAAACGAGAATTCTCTAGGCGATAAGAATGGAACACAGGAAGGCAGAGTGGTGTCCCTGCTTTATGTCTTTATTGTGAGACTTTGCGCTAGTCACTTCACTTAATCTCTCTAGGTCTTGGGTTCTTTGCTTGTAAAATATGGATAATAATAATACCTACCAAGATGATCAATATGAAGAACCACTGGAAAGTGCTTTATAAACTTTAAGGCCCCATAAAGAAAAGTCTTTATTGTAAATTTTGATTTTTTTACAATTTCACTTATGGCTTTGCTATCAGCAATTATTGTCACTATCATTAGTTTTTCTTGCTATTAGGCTGATCGTGTTGATGACAGTGTTAACATAGATGACGGCTCTGGCACTGACACCCAAACTATTTCACACAAACCATACCTATGCTGGGAACTACAGGTAGAGAAGAATCTGATCCAGTTCTGCTTTAGAGATGTTCATTTTAGTGGAGAACTCATATTATTAACCCTTTGCACTCCGAACCATTCTGGACATTGGCTACCAGCTACTCGACGCTAACGGCAGAAACGTGCGTTGAATTAACTCAATTCCCCGTAATCACTAATAAACTGCAATGTTCCCTGAGAGGGGACATCCGAGTGATATGCTACAATTCCGATGTCCCCTGAGAGGGGACAGAGGAGGGCAAAGGGTTAATTGCTGCTCCATAGGAACACCTTTCAGTGAAACCCTCCCTTACTGGGAGAGGATAAGTGTAGCACGGACTTTGAGATGTCACTTGGCTTTGATGCTTAGTAGCAAATTGCTTTATTTTGGGGCCCATTTCCTCTGGTAATGGAGGTAAGACCACCTATTTCTCAGGTTGTAAGAACTCTAATTCCACAGGCTCCCAGTTAACCCAATGCAGCCGACAGCCTCCAGTAAACCCTAGAAGGACACCTCCCTATCTCATTTATTCACTCTTTAAAAAACGAGTATTTGCCGAAACCGGTTTGGCTCAATGGATAGAGCATCAGCCTGTGGACTGAAAGGACCCAGGTTTGATTCCAGTCAAGGGCATTTACCAGCTGATTGATGATTCTCTCTCATCCATGTTTTTCTTTTTTCTTTTTTAATATACTTTATTGATTTTTTACAGAGAGAAAGAGAGAGGGATAGAGAGTTAGAAACATCGATGAGAATCATCGATCAGCTGCTTCTTGCACACTCCATACTGGGGACATGCCGGCAACCAAGGTACATGCCCTTGACCGGAATTGAACCTGGGACCTTTCAGTCCTCAGGCTGACGTTCTATCCACTGAGCCAAACCGGCTTCAGCTCATCCATGTTCCTAACTATCTCTCTCCCTTCCTCTCTGTAAAAAATCAATAAAATATGTATTTTTTAAAAACGAGTATTTTCTAAGGAGCACCCTTCATGTATCAGGCTTCTGCAGATCCTGTAGGCCGAACCCTGCTCATGGAATGGATGGCGAAGCTGAGGCCACGGAGAGGAGCAAACGGAAGCGAGGCCGCTCAGGGACCAGGAGCAAAGCCTGGACCAAGGCCCGCGTCTTCTTCCAAGTCCCCGCGCAGGGCTCCTGGCGGCCGCAGACCCCTCCCCCCAAGCGAGGTTCCTGTCTCAGGGCCTTTCCTCCGCAATGCGCCAAAGCTCAGGTTTACGTCTGGCTTCGGCGGGAGGAAAACAGAACCACAACCAGCCCCGAAAACTCGGGGTATAAGTCGGAGATGCTAACGGACACAATACCCTCCTCCCAAGATCGGAATTCCTGAGCCCAGATGGTGCTGCGACCCCGTCCCCACAGCCGTCCCCGTCCCCACCGCCGCCCGCCCCACTCCCCGGGACCCCCGCCCCTCAGGCCCGCTCCCCGGGGACCCCCGCCCTCCAGGCCCGCTCCCCAGGGACCCCCGCCCCCCAGACCCGCTCCCCGGGGGACCCCCGCCCTTCAGACCCGCTCCCCGGGGACCCCCGCCCTCCAGGCCCGCTCCCCGGGGGACCCCTGCCTCCCAGGCCCACTCTCGGGGGACCCCCGCCCTTCAGGCCCGCTCCCCGGGGACCCCCGTCTCCCACGCCCGCTCCCCGGGACCCCCGCCCCCCAGGCCCGCTCCCCGGGGACCCCCGCCCCCAGGCCCGCTCTCGGGGGACCCCCGTCTCTCAGGCCCGCTCCCCGGGACCCCCGCCAACCAGGCCCGCTCCCCGGGGACCCCCGCCCCCAGGCCCGCTCTCGGGGGACCCCCGCCCCCCAGGCTGGCTCACCTGCGTAGGCCCTCGGCCCCCCGTTTCTCTCCGGGCTGCGGGGGCGCGGCGGCAGGCCCTCGGGGCTCGGGCACCGGAGCCTGGGAGACGGCCGCGGCTGGGGAGACGCAGGCAGGAGACAGCGCGGCTGCGGACAAGAAAACAAACCCCCAGAGTGAAGGGAGACGCGGAGGGGGACGTGGAGAGGCCGGAGGCGGGAGACCGGGAAGGACACCGCGGAGGCGCGGAGGCGGCGGAGGCCTGGGCCGTTGGGCGCCGTTGGCAGCGCCCGGAGCCGGCCCCGCCCCCGCCCGGTGCTGCGGCCCCGCCCCGCCCCCCGCCGCCGGCCTCCCGTCCCCGCTCTCTGCGGCCCCCAGCCCGGCCCCCGCCGCGGTGAAGAGCCTGACCCTTCTTCCTCTCCGACCACCTACCCCGGGACCGAGCTCAGCCCAGGCTTTCGGCCTGCCACGTCTCCCAAAGGCGGCGCAGCTCTGGCTCCGCCCCCTCCCTTCCTTTTCCTCCCCCGCCCCCTCCCCAGCTTTCCCTCCCCCTTTATTGGCGGGTGGGTATCACCGCCTAAAACTTCCCCGGACAGCCTGAGAGGTAAGCAAAGGTTCCGGCCCTCAGAGGGGGCTCCACTAAAAGGCCCAGAGAGAGAGGATTGGGCCACCCCTACTCAAAAAATAAAATGGCATGTTGAGAACCGCTAGCAGGGTCGCCTAAGACCATCGGAAAACCCAGATATTTACACTACGATTCATTAACAGTAGCCAAATTACAGTTTTGAAGTAGCAGGGGAAATAATTTTATGGTTAGGGGTCACCACAACACGAGGAACTGTATGTATTAAAGGGTCGCGGCATTAGGAAGGTTGAGAACCACTGACTTAGAAGAGTTGAAACCAGTCCTTATTTGGGAAAGACTGCCTAATGGCGATTAGTCCAACCTTCTTGCACGCCTACACAACCAGCCAGGCAGGTGGCATTTGTCCTCCCCATAGGATGACTAAGAACTACAAGGGGAGGTGGGAGGGTCTGGAAGTTGTGACATGATGTGCATGAAAGTACAGGAGCTGAAAGTAGTGATTTTTTCCAATAGACTTCTCAGTAGATTAAAGGAAATGGCTATCAAATTGTGGTCAGAGTCACCTAGTGGGGATGGCAAAACCAGTAATCAGACAAGTTTAGGGAGCTTACAACAGTTTGGGGGAGTTTACTATGCCATTCTCCTCTGAGAGGAAGGCTCCAGGGGCGATTCTTTTTTTAAATAGTGTATCTTCAACCATGTCAATCCAACAAAAGAATCCAGGTGGCTAAACTAGAATTAAATGTGAACACTTAAGGCCTCCTCTTGGTTAAGGTGCCATCTGCAGGGTGTGGCAAACAGGTTGGCCTGGGGACGCTATTATGGCAAAGAAAACATACCCAGCAGCAGTCAGGTCATCAGAATACTGAATTTTCAAAATAAATCTATACAACGCTCCCCAATCCCTCGTTCTGATCATTACTCTGTAAGCAACTATAATTAATTCTATGTCTTGACTGGAACACGAGACCCCCCAAATATTTGGTTAAGCATTATTTTGGGTATGTCTGAGAGTGTTTCCGGATGAGATTTGAATCAGTGCTCTCAGTAAAGCAGACTGCCCTCTGAAATGCTGATGGGCTTTTATCCAATCTGTTGGAGGCCAGAATAGAACAAAAGTCGGGGTAAGGTAGAATTCACTCTCTGCCTGTTTGCACCAGTCTTCTGCTTCTGAACTAGAACTTCCTCCTGGTTTACAGGCCTCTGACTCAGACTAGAACAATATCCTTGGGTCCCCTGGTTCTCTAGCTTCCGGAAGCAGATCATGGGACTTCTCCAACCCCATAATCCAGCCCATTCCTTATAACACATCTCTTTATATATGAACACACATATCCTAGTTCTGTTTCTTTAGAGAACTCTAACGTAGTAGTCAAGGGGAAGTGACAGCTTTCAGTGGACAGCAATATTTAGTGACCAAACTGCCTTACCAGGATGAGGTTAGGGAGGTAAAGTCAGAAATCTTCCAAGTACATTTTTTAAATGGGCTGTTCTAACAGTCAACAATACTAAATTCCTATGGATGGAAGAGTTAAGGTCCTGCTGAAACGGGTTTGGCTCAGTGGATAGAGCATCAGCCTGCGGACTGAAAGGTCCCAGGTTTGATTCTGATCAAGAGCATGTACCTTGGTTGCGGGCACACCCAGTATAGGGGATGTGCAAGAAGCAGCTGATCAATGATTCTCTCTCATCGATGTTCCTAACTCTCTATCCCTCTCTCTTCATCTCTGTAAAAAATCAATAATATATATTTTAAAGAATAAATTAATTTTTAAAAAAAGAGTTAAGGTCCATCGAATACCTTGACTGACAGCCACAGTTGCACCACTGTCCAACTGCATGTGATCAAGATAACCAAAAATATCAGACAGATTAGTTTGAAGACCAAAATAGTGTGGTTGGAGATGACTGAACTAGAAAAGCAACACTAACCTGAAAAACATGTCAACACTGGTGAGGTACTGATGGTAACCCTCACAGGGAGCCAAAGGTCTGACATAGCCAAACAGCCAAGAGTGGGTGACGGGCCATGCCCTGTGCTATGCGATCTCACTCAAGGCTAGACAACAGGACTTTTGAAAGGAGTCACAGTCTGGCATGCAGCAGTAGCCCCTGCATCAGAAATGTAAGTGTTTTACTTTGTGCCTAGGATACTAAGGTGAGTATAATGCCACGTCCGGTGTGATAGATCCAGGCAACAATGGTGACAATCTGAGTAGTACAGGCTCCATCAGCAGCAGCTTGATTCCAGTTGGTCTCATCAAATAACAGCCCCCACTGAGGGCATCTACATGAATGACCCAGACAATTCAATTAAAAGCAATAATTCATTTCTAGTTTGTGGTCCCGAAGAGGAGTGTCTTTGTTTTGACACTCTGTAGTCTTCCAAGTGGAATACTCGGTGCTTGTGACAGACTGCCTCTCCCAGGAGTTTCTCGTTCTTCAGTGGGTCACTTTCAATAGCGTTACAAACCAAATCCAGGCAGAGTACTATTCAATACTCATCACTGGTTCCCAGAAGAATCTGTCAAAGGGAACGCACCCCCAAAGGCTCAAAGCTCCCTTACAGTAGGCAAGGCCCATTGCAAAAACAAATTTGAGACATTTATTCTTGTCTCTAAATGGATCTAAGGTTGACATGATAGAATTTAGGATGTGGTTGGCTATGAGACAAACCAATAGTTGCCATTCTTCCTTAACAAGCATCATGCATGCCGAAACCAGTTTGGTTCAGTGGATAGAGCATCGGCTTGCAGACTGAAAGGTCCCAGGTTTGATTCCAGTCAAGGGCATGTACCTTGGTTGCGGGCACATCCCCAGTAGGGGATGTGCAAGAGACAGCTGATAGATGATTCTCTCTCATTGATGTTTCTAACTCTCTATTCCTCTCTCTTCCTCTCTGTAAAAAAAATCAATATATTTTTTAAAAAATACAAAAACAAGCATCATGCATTATCTCAGTAATTTTCTCGTTTCTTTCAATAAAGAGTTTTTTAAAAGTGAAGATAACATGTTTATATTTGTAAAAGAAAAAGGTATATCCAAGTATGCAAAACCAAGAAATTATCTTGGAGAGGGTTATTACCTATCCACAAACACAAGTCTTGGGACCCCCGTGTCTAAGAATAACTCTAACTCCTTCATTGTGAAAATACCATTATCCAATTACACTCTTTCAAAAGCTGACAGAATAGCTTACAGACTAGAACTACCATCTAAAAACAGTTGTGGGGGTAGAGGGCCCTAGAAGCTGAGAGAATTACATGACTCACCCAGCTTGTCAGGAATAAAACTCCCACCTGTTGATGTTCCACACCACTAAGTGTGACACTAGATAGGGGGCCACATTCCCAAGTCAAAGAACAAATTATGATGCATGATGTTTTATAAAGTGAATAAGGTTTTAGGTACTAGGTTCAGCGAGAATTATACTTTTGTAAGGATAGAGAGACAATATCTTTAGAGCTCATAGGATCTAGGCAACTGCTCAGTTCTGCTCTACCACAGTAGGAAAATCTGGAAAAGAAGATGTTCACAATTTTGGAGCCATTATCCAATTACCCAGGTTTAAATCCCAGTTCTATCACTAACTTTTGTGTCTCAGTTCCCTCAAGTATAAAATGAGGTTAATAATAATACCTACTTCTTAGGATCGTTGTGAGCATTACTGAGTTAATACATGTACACTACCTGACAAAGTAAGTACTGAATGTCATTGTTATCACTGGAAAGCTACCAGTTCCTCGCTACAGGTTCTTAGGGGTCTCTGACCAATAAAACAGCCTAGAATGTAAAAAACCTATGATAAAGTAAGACTGTTAACACTTGCTGCTCTGTTCTTTCCATCAAAACTAACCATCAAAAACTCCATTTTTTCATATCTTCTTTCTTTTTATTGAAAAAATTTTTAGAAAATGGCAGTTAATAAAGGACACAAACAAATCAGCAAATCAACAGGGATATACTAGTGAAAAGCATAGACAATATAAAACTAAAACTGTCATTGGCTTCTTTAATTGGTTAAGAGCACACAAAATGTAACAGGCAGACGGTCTATTTTAAACAAATTAAAAAGCTGGGTTTTTTCCCCAATTCTCCTCGTCAGATATATACACACCACAAAAAAATGGTGTGTGAAGAAGATGTGTACAAGTAGTTGTATCCTGAATTAAGGATACAATTAAAACAGCTATTGAAACCGGAATTAACAACAGATTGACAATTTTAAAAACTGAGTCTTAATATGCTGCATGGCACAAAGCTATACTATTCTGCTAGATATGAAGGAGAAAGTCTGTTCAGTTTTTAGCAAAAATGCTTCTCCAGAAAAGCAAATGAAAACAGTATAATCAGCAGACCAAGAAAGCTACAGCTAAACATCAGAGCTATAATTTCTCATATCTCAGATAGAAAATCTTATTTATCCAGAATGGACTAAATTTCAGGACAAAACAGTAACATTTAACGTTTTTTTACTTCTTTCCTTCTCACCCCATAATTTTGCACGATCTTGCAAAAAGATGGCTGCTTTTAGAATTGGCTATTTTATTTTTCTTTCTGTAGCAAGACTGTCATGAAGTCTTGATATTTCAGGCTCATATGCATCCATGACCAGTGTCCCACTGTGGTCAAAAAACTTAGCAATGGACCTGGTGAACTCAGCTTCCCGCTGCTGCTTTGTTCTCCCACTGATGAAGGTCAGCTTCAGAGTGTATTGGTCATCAAACCTAAGCAAAAATAATAAATCAGCAACCATAAAAAACAAAGGAAGAGATTCACCCAGTAATAGAAGAGCAAGTATTTTCAGTCCGAAGGCCAACGCTCTATCTACTGAGCCAAACCGGTTTTGGCAAGAGCAAGTATTTTCAAAGAATAAAGGTGAGAAGCCTACACAAAGAGTTCTCTCAAAAAACTGCCTTCAAGATACAAACGCTCATTCATAGGTGTTGCTTTGGGTCCCTGATTTAATTACTGT